TGAATATGTTGAATAGGATTGGTCCCGGTACGGACCCCTGTGGGACACCACTAGTTACCTCTCTCCATTCTGAAAACTGACCATTTTTTCCTATGCTTTGTATCCTGTCTTTTAACCACTTATCAATCCCTGAGATGACCTTATCCCATGACAGCTTACTTTTCTAAGGCTTTCTGAAAAATCTAAGTACACTATAGTCACTCGATCCCCCTTCTCCATATGCTTGTCAACCTCTTCGAAGAATTCTAGTAGATTATTGAGGCATGATTTCCCTTTACAGGACGATGTTGACTTTTCCCCAACAAATTATGTTCATCTGTGTGTCTGACTATTCTGATTTTTTAATATAGTTTCAACAATTTGCTCAGTACACGCCCCAGAGTACCTATTTCTTTTCTTCCTAAATACGATAACGAATCCCATAAGGGAAGCCAGCAAGAATGTTGTTTAGAACCAGCAAGTATGTGTGTTTAGAACAAACTTTGGACATGTATGCCCACTAAACAAATTAAAGCCCCAGAAACTACCTCAAACATTCCCACATGAAATACCGGATGTGAAATGTATAAATTCTTTACAGCTTTTCAAAACGAAAGTGAAGTTTCATGCATTTGGAAAACGAAAAAGTCCAAACAAAGGTACTTTATGGTCCCAGATCCCTGATATCAAAGAACAGTTGACATAAATCCCCGTGTATTTACTAAAGAATGATTTACGATAAACTCTTCATTTTTCCAGAGATTGCCACAGGCTTTCTTCTACGTATGTTCCAAAAGAAAAATTCAAAATACTTCATAATGTGTCCCTGACACACACATAAAAGGAACTACTAAATAGTAAAGGCAGCATTGTAGCAACATCACTAGCAGAATTACAGAAAAGGATCTCTTGGTATTTCCATTATAAATCCATCCCTTTAAAACTGGGTATTTTTATCACTCACATTGCACTGTGCTGAAGTTTAGCACAAGCAGGTTCTCTATATAGAAGAGACATGATCCAACTCACAAGCTGCCCATGGAAAGATCACTACTAATCTTTATGCAAATCACTGTGGATATTCTTTGACTTATAAAGATGGGGAAAACAGACTGAAGTACAGGCAGTCCCCGGGTTACGTACAAGATAAGAACAAATCTACAGTCCCTAAGTTGAATCTGTATGTAAGTTGGAACTGGCATCCAGATTCAGCTGCTGCTGAAACTAATCAGTTTCAACAGCAGCTGAATCTGGACGCCAGTTCCGACTTACATACAGATTCAACTTAAGACCCCCAGGCGTCCCCAAGCCAGCTGCTGCTGAAACTGATCAGCAGCTGATTCCAGGAAGCCCGGGGCAGAGCAACTCTGCCTCTGGCTTCCTGTAGTCAGCCGCTGGTCAGTTTCAGCAGCGGCTGACTTGGGGACGCCTGGGGCAGAGCAGCTCGGGTGCTGCTGGGTTGGTCCAGTAGCGCGGCCACTCCTCGGCGCTACTGGACCAACCCAGCAGCACCCCAGCTGCTCTGCCTCAGGCGTCCTGATTCAGCCGCTGCTGAAACTGATCAGCAGCAGCTGAATCAGGACTCCTGGGGCAGAGCAGCTGGGGGGCTGCCGGGTTGGTCCAGTAGCGCCATGGAGCGGTGCTGCGGGACCAACCGGCAGCGCCCCACCTGCTCTACCACAGGCCCGGGCTTTGCTCCACATCTCCCTGGTCTGCTGGGGGGAGGGGGAGGCACTAGCTGTGTCCCCCCCCAGCAGACCAGGGAGACGCTGAGCAAAGCGGCGGAGGACCTGGGCCGGACCCACGGCGCTTCCAGATCAGCACCGTGGGTCCGGCCCGGGTCCTCCGCCGCTTTGCTCAGCGTCTCCCTGGTCTACAGACCAGGGAGACGCTGAGCAAAGCGGCGGAGGACCTGGGCCGGACCCACGGCGCTTCCAGATCAGCACCGTGGGTCCGGCCCGGGTCCTCCGCCGCTTTGCTCAGCGTCTCCCTGGTCTACAGACCAGGGAGACGCTGAGCAAAGCGGCGGAGGACCTGGGCCGGACCCACGGCGCTTCCAGATCAGCACCGTGGGTCCGGCCCGGGTCCTCCGCCGCTTTGCTCCGTGTCTCCCTGGTCTGCTGGCTCCCCCCGCAGACCAGGGAGACGGGGAGCAGCTTTTCTCGCCCCGGAGGAGGCGGGCGACAGGACCAGGCGTCCCACCGCTCCAGTCCTCCGGGGCGAGAAAATCCCCGTTCGTAACTGCGGAGTCGGATCCGCGTAACTCGGGGACTGCCTGTATTGAGATACCACTGCAGCACTAGTTCACAAGCTACCAGAGAGAGTAAGATATGAGTTAGAAGATGCCATAGCCTTCAACTATTTAAGCAAGTGACTACATCTTTCCAGCCCAAGTTAACACGCACATGTTGGCATCTTAAGAATAAGAGTATTTTGCAATCCTGTACTCAAGCTCTTTATTCTTGTGCAGGGGCAAAGGTAGCCTCCCAGTTCAACAGGGTGGACCCAGGGGTAGAAGAAATAATAGGGGAATAGGGATCAGAGAGGGCCTAAGCCCATGGGGTTGCTTCCCTTCCTTTGGGAATAAGGGGGTTCTGTGTGTCCAAGTCCCACCTCTTCCTGAACTTGAGCCCCACTGCAGGTAGGAACAGGATCCCCAACTTCATTCCAGCCTCTGGGCTCACTACCTGACAGCCAGATCAGCACTATCAATGGCAGGCAAAAAAAGCTGATTGTCATTGCAACCACAAGCACTAGACCACAATACTAATCACCGTGCCGTTCTAACACCCTCTTCTCCCCCACACAGTGCACATGAGGAAGGGATGTCTGGGCCAAATTTGAGCAAGTGGCATTGTGACCCTGTATACCAGGCTGTGGTATCAGTTCGGTTTGACCTGATTTATTTGGCTTGATTTCTGTGGGTGCAATTCCACTCAGGGACTCCCAGTAACACCAGCTTTGTTCTTTGCACCTACTGAGGCTAGTGTTGGCAATCCTAATCAAGGTAAATCAAAGCAGGAATAACAAAGGCACAAAGCTCCTCTATTATGGATACTGGGATAAGCAAAGAGAGGAAAGAAACAAGAAACTGTATGTGAGGGAAAGACCACAAGTGTATAGATAATATTTAGAGCATGGCATGAGTAGGGACTGATGTTGGATTCTGACTGTAGTAAAATGTTTAATGATCTTGAAGAGCAGAGTATGTTAATTAACTCTGAAAATGATAGTAAATAAATAGCCACTGTGAATATCAGTGAGGTTAGAGAAAAATGGATTTAAAGGTTAGAAATATCAGCAGGTGGTACATAAATGAGTATAATCCTGGAAAAGCAAGCATATCTGGGGAGAAATAAGCCAATATACAGGAAGGAAGGTACTTGGAGAGCAGTGAGTCCAAGAGACAGCAATAATATGACAGCGGTTCACCAGGGTTAGCCCCTGGTGGGCCACCACTGCTATATTTACTTGCACAGATGCTGGTACCAGTGGTCACAGCTCCATTGGCCACGAATCACTGTTCCTGGCCAATGGGAGCGTCAGGAAGTGATGCAGACCAGGAAACCGCTTTCTGCAGCTCCCATTGGCCAGGAACAATGAACCGCAGCCAACCAGAACTGCAATTGCTGGTAACAGAGGCTGCGCAGGTAAATTTAGTGGTAGGGGCCCACCACGAGCTAACTCTGGTGGACCGGATCCAGCCCACAGGCTGGTATTTGTCCACTCTGCGCTACCACATTGGAAAGTCCTGTGATTGCAGGGGACAAAAAAGATTCTGCATGACTAAGTTTTCAGAGAGTCGCTATTTGGAAAGGTGCACCCAGTTTCTCTGTTTAAAATATTAATTGTATCATGTATTACCGCATTCTTAAACCATTTTCTCATGTAAATGACTGCATGTATAAAACCAAGGTTCGTCACGCTGCCAATTTTCAGCGGGGGGGGGGGGGTTCAGGAGGCGTTAAACTTGATTTTAGGAAAATTGATTTTGTTATGGATTATGAAAATTTATTATCACTCTAGAAATTCCAAACAGAAATTTAGCAGAAAATCACAGTGTTAAGAACCAAAACAGATAGCATTTTGACAGATATTATACAAACAGCTACATAATGTTTATATAGCACTGCATATTACACTGCTCAGAACAACAGAAGAACTGCAATCAACAACAGGCTTCCTGCCCGCACAGGGCTTACCGTTTAGAGGCAGTGACTGGCATACCACCATAGACAAAGCATGGCAAGAGGTTACTATAAACTGAATGAGTAACAAAGCAGCTCTATCTGCATATCTATCTAAGGCACTTTGATGGCCTGCATAATACCAAGCACCTTGCACATCTTCAAGGTATTTATCCTCACACAACCTCTGTGAAGTAGAGACTCTATTATCCTCATTTTACAGACGGGGAACTGAAGCAGACACACTCAGGTCACACCTACACTATGGGGACTACAGAGCTAAAGCTACAATACTGTAGAGATAGCAGCCTAACGCAATAATGTTGATACAGGTTACAGTGACAAAAGGGTTTTTCCACCAATATAAAAACCCTTCCTCCTTGAGCAACGGAAGCTAAGTTGAGAAAAGCATTTTTTTTATAACCTAGCTGAGTCAACTCCAGGGTTAGGTCAGTACTGCTTTGGCTCTTGGGCATATGGATTTATTGCACCCGATGGTGCCGCGGACTACGTGGATGTAAATGTTAAGTATAGTTTAGGCCTAAATGACTTGCCAAGATCACACAGAGGTCTAACAGAGCAGGAAACTGAATCCCAGATTTAGGCTAGCACCCGAGTGACTGGATCCTCCTTTTTCCTATGATGGGATATCAAGGAGTTTTGCAAGTGCTAACTAGGAAATCACTTTGGGCATGAAGTGGCAACATGGAACAATGCATCTGTATTATGGCAGTGCCCATGATACATTAGTTAAGACAGAACAAAGCAAAGCAACTATTTTGTTAAGTGACCAAGAACATTGGTGAGAACAACAATGTTAAGTTTTATACATACCTACTGCTCATGTCCTACTTTTCTTATTGTATTCACTATGCTTTGTTTTTCATATAAATGAAGATACTATGAAGAGAGACACGGTCAGTATGATAGTTTCAGAGGGGTAGCCATGTTAGTCTGTAACTGAAAAAAAGGTCAGTATGATGCTGAACTTGTATAATTACACATTCTAGTGACATAAAAAGCTAAGCACACAGTACTTACAGTCCACGTTATTAGCCTCGTTTAGCACGGACACTCTAATTGACAATATTTTTTTCCTTCTCCTCCTCTGCAACCCCACCCTCCTGCAGGCTAACGCTGGATGTGTCCTGGCCAGACTCCATGATGTCTTTCCTCTGAAGAAGTGGATTGTACCCACAAACAGGGGCAGATGACCATTTTGCGGGGTCCCGGGCAGCATAATTCCGCGGGCCCCCCCCTTTGCCACGGCGCATGCGCAGCGACGCCATGCGCATGCACAGCGGCGCCACGGCGCATGCGCGGGGCTTTCTGAAGCGCGGGGCCCGGGGCGGCCGCCCCATTCGCCCTGCCCTATATCCGCCCCTGCCCACAAAAGCCATGATACCATCTACATTTTTGTTAGTCTCTAAGATGCTACAAACTAAGATGCTGCAGAACTATTTGTTGTTTTAAGTTTTTTTTTAGTTACACATTAACACGTCTACCCCTCTGAGACTTGTATAATTACTAGAAGTCTCAGTATAGCCATTATTACGGCAGTGAAGAGACCTATAAAGCTTGCATTCATGAGTATTTGGGCTGGAGCATTTGCTGTGCAGATCCATTAAATGGATACATTCACTTTAGAATTCATACCCTATATCACAGGAGCACCAAAGTTTTGTTCTCGACTGCACATGGTCTAAGACCCGTTATCACAATGCATTACAAAGAAATCTATTTCTTAAATGAACTTATATTAACACTAAACCTATAAGAACACCACACTAAAGCTAACATTCTAAATTAAATACGAACTTCATTAATGACTTGGATAAAAGAGAGTATGTTTACGACACCAAGCTGAAAGAGGTTGCAAGCATTGTAGTGGACAGAATTAGGATTCAAAAAAAGACTAAGAAAATGAAGAATTGGTCTGATATAAATAAGATTAAATTCAATAAAGACAAGTGCCAAGTATTCTACTCAAGATGGGGGGAAAAAATCAAATGCACAAACAGAAAAGGGGTAGGCAATAGTACTGCTGAAAAGGATCTGGGAGTTATAGCGGATTACAAAGGAATATGGTTTATATCATTCTGAGGGGTGCTCTCCCGAGTGTTGAGATCTCAGCTAGAGTGCTATGTTCTGTTCTGAGGAACCCACTTTAAGATATGGGCAAATTAAGAGTTCAGAGAAGAGCAATAAGAGTGCTCAAAAGTTTAGAAAACCTAACCTGTGAAGAAAGGTTAAAAAAAAAAACCTGAATATGTTTAGTCTCGAGAAAAGAAGAAGGGATGAAGAACTGGAGACCAGTCTCCAAATATGTTAAGAACTGTTATAAATGGTTTTCAATTTTCTCAATGTCCACTGAACATAGGACAAGAAATAATCAGCAGTATGGGAGATTTAGGAAAGATATTAGGAAAAACTTTCTTACTATAAAGGCAGTTAAGCTCTGGAATAGGCTTTCAAGAGAAATTGTGCAACCCCGGTCATTGAAGGTTTTTAAGGACAGGTTGGACAATACCTGTCAGGGATGGGCTAGGTTTACTTGGTCTAGCCTCAGTGCAGAGGCTAGACTCAATGACCTCTCAACATCTCTTTGAATCCTACATTTCTAGGATTTTAAGCCTGGTGCAGTTCTTATAGTAGGATGAGCTGTAAAACGAATGTTACAGAATAAAACATGAGAGATGTCCCAGGAACACAGCATGAGGGAGGAAAATAATTATACATCTCCCATATAAAATATTGATCTCCAGAAACATGTTAAAGGTTTTGTCTTTCCTCTACAGCCACTCACTATATTTCTTCCCATATTATTATTTCTGTCCCATCTTTATGCTTCAGAACACAAGATTCTAGTAAATGTAAGTTTTTTACTCAGCACACACACGGCACAAGAGCAACAGCATGGAACTCTAAGGCTTAAGTAACCTAGTTATAAAACCAACAATAAGCAGCAATTCAATCTCAGTCACAAACACAAAAATATTGTACCATCCGTGCTTCTCTCCACATCTGTCCAAGTTGACAGTAGAGTGGAATACATTCCCAGAAAGAATGCAAAGGCATGGAGGAACTTAGAAAAAATGAACAGACTCAACAATGAGATCTCTCTTCTTGCCCTTCTTTCTCTTTTCTTGTCTCCCTCCATTTTCAGCATACAAAGCCTCCCATTTCAGCTTTTTTTTTCCTTTCTATTTTCTTTCCTACTCTTCCAGTTTTCCCCTTTGTTTTTCCTCCCTCTTCCCCCTGTTTCTAAAAGACAGCACTACATCTTCTAGTCCCTTTCTACTGCTTCTTCTCCCCTCTTCTTGTCTCCACCTTTCTTTCTACCTCCTTCAGTTTCTCTTATTAGTTCTGTCTCATTCTCCAACTTCTGTATTCTCTCTCTTTCCTCTTGACATCCCCATTTTTCTCTCTTCCTTCTTGGTGTTCTTTATCCATATTCACTGACAAACAGCTTCAGCATTAAGAATGAGACTTCTTCCCTCACTCCAACCCCAAATTCCTTTCCCCCAGCACGCATTTGCATGTGCAGTTTATTTTCTACCAGAAAATAATTTGATTGCCTTCTAAATTTTCTGCCACACTCAGATACAGTATTGTATTTCCCCAAAATAATAAAAAGGCTTTGAGAGAGGCAGATTGCAGCAACATGGATGTGTTACTTTCAGCTTTCTGCCAAGGTTGGGTTGGGCTGAATCCTAAAATGTCTCATAGGGTCGGTCAGACATGTTCAATGACCTTAACGTGTCCTCTTGACCCACACACATCCAGCTGGTCATGGCAGGCTAGCAAACCCCTAGGACATGCATTCTTATGAAGCACACGAAATTTCAGACAATATGAGCAAATATGTATTTTTGAATACTTAGAAGAATCAATTTTTAAAACAGAAAAGCATTCTCAACCTTAACAATAGCACAGATGGTGCTATAGTTCAGAGGCCAAAAAATACCTGGAAGTTTCAAGCATAGATACCCAGCTCAAAATCACCCATCCCTAGGCATGAAAAAGAATGTCAAATTCTTACAATTCTTAAAAGGAAGTATGTAGGGGGATATTGACCTCCAAAAGTGATGGATCTTGAGCATTCCTCAGACATCATAAGACTCAAGAGCTTGAGTTTAAAAGCTTTAATAAATCAACAAAACTCTGAGAAATTCAGCTATTGACTCACATGAGATGTATGAGAGCACAATGTCCTGGTATCCCTGCAGTGTCTATTCACCACAGGGCAAATAAGGACAGCAGATCAGCTTATTTCATTCCTCGGTTTTATTGGTTTAATTCACGTTTCCAAAACTTGGGGGAGGAAAGGGTTGTATTTTCTCTGGTAATTTAACAATAATGTAAATGAAAAAGATTTTTGGCTTTTACTATTTCATCACAATATTCACATCCATTAGCAGATCAAATATCCCCCTCTAAAAGAGGGCTCCTCTTTCCTCATTTAAATGTAAAATAAAATAAAATGCAGCAGGATTCAAAGCCATTTTGAAAGTCAAAGCAGCTACTTCTATCCATGGAATCTCAACAGTCACACAAAGAATATAGTATCATCAATAGGAATTGAACGGGTGAAATTTTTATACACTGCTTCAAGATATTAACAACAGTAGAGATGTTTAGAAGATTATTATGAAGAGAATCCAAATTACTGGTCTATTCCATTATCTATTTGCACTGGAATTCTGTCTTTCAAACCAGCATTAACACTAATCTTCATTTCAGATCTTCAGAAAAGCACAGGGACAGAGACCTTTGACATTCACTTTTAATAAGGATTAACTGCTTTCTTGTTACATGTATGGTTGCTTTTCTATGTTCTACATCCAGTGCCAACTGAAGCTTCCAGGAAGCTTCCAGCCAGGTTGGGTTTCAGTAACACATCTTACATTTTAAAGAACAAGACACCATTTATAACATTATATTGGTGTCTGATTGTGCTGCCCAAGCTCAAGATATGTCAGTGTCTCCATTATCAAGCTGTATTATAAGGGGTTTCCCAACCTGACCATAAAAACTCAGATTCGGGCTGAAACATGGTATATTTTATCTCAAGCTAGGAACCTTCTTTCTGTAAACCCATTAAATGTGTTATGCACACAGTGTCATTTTTACATTCCAAACTGTAAATAGAACTGTACATAAATTGCCACACTTGGACAGTTTTAGACTCCTGCGAGTTAAAAATGGCTCATTTTATAAAATAAAAGGTTGTATGCTGCTTCACACATACTGTAGTTTGAAAAAAAGATTTGACTGTCAATATACAGTAATTAAAATGCAGCTCCTGTGTATAGACAGTAGCTATTTTAAATATGGATTTTTACTAAATTTCAGCAGTACGATATATGATGTGCCCAGGCTTAGCACGGCTCATATGCATTCACAGCATACACTGAAAAATAAACACCTTTTTCTGGTGTATGAATGTGAATTAAGATTAGTACACAGCAATGTTAAATACATTCTCTATATAACAGACCTATAATACAAAATGCATACCAGTTATATTCAGTAAGGTGCTTTTGATTAAAACATACACTATATGCAAGATTCAGATAAATCTTGACAATCTAGTGAAACAACTGAACTGAAAAGAGCTTACATTTCAAAGCATATCCTTAGCACCAACCCACATCTTACTACTACAGAAACACAGGAGGTGATACAACAATGTTCAAATACATGCTGAGCAGCCAGATACAGGAGTCTATATAGCCTTCCAAACCATACATGAGCAATAGCATGGCATAACATGACTATGCGCTAGAACAGTAGACATAATTATAATTTTTTTGCTTTTCAGAAGTTTATTTAAACCCTCTATATTATCTGAAGATACAAATAAATCTCACATATGTAAATGTCTTGCCTTCCTATCTTACAAGCCACTGCAGTTCTCTGATTATGAGTCAAGCATAGGTTCATCTGCAGAAGAATGACTCAGTATAAACTTTTAAACAATAGTTATTTTTCCACTAACCTATCAAATGAAATCATTAAAGCATGGTACTGTCAATAGTGCACACGTTTACTAAGTATTAAAATCATGTAAAATTAATTGAAGTTTTTGTTCGTGCTAGAAAGATCATTTCATAAAATAAGGCCTTGGTGTGTATGCATTGTAAAAATACGGCTGAAATACTGAGATAGTCCCCAGAGGGACTGATGAAACTCACATTAATTGAATTTATTTTACATCCTTCACTAGAGAACCCCTCCTTGCCCGCAACACACACACACTCACACACACACAATATGGTAAGGGTTTGCTAAAAGCCAGCTCAACATAGATATTTCTGCATGGTTAACGAAGCAAAGCAGTCTTTGGGGGACGCAAAGTTAGCAAAATAAGCGTTCGCCACAAGTGAAAAGAACAGCTCGAAGCACACAGACACTGGCCCTTTAAAGCATATGGCCCGCCCACACTGCCTATGAGAGCCAGAAATTGAGAGAGCTTTCTGCATTCAAACAACACATCAAATGCATGCAAGAACCCTTAAGCACATCGCCTAGCAGAGCGACAAGAGGAAGGGGCTTTTGTATCAACACTTACTGATCGGCTCCTCTCTAGGTAGGGAGATGCCAGGCGGGCTTGAGCCTTGCACGTACGTCTCCCCCACCTCAAAATACAAAAAGAGGGAGAATAAAGCAGCAGCCCGGAGGATGAATGTATCTGGGCTGGGTCTGAGCAGCAGCCGCCCTGAGAACGAAGCTGAGCCCCCAGTAGCAGGCGCAGCCTGAAGCTGAATCAATCTCTCGGCGCAGCAGCGGCCAGATCCCGGGCAACAGGCTGAGTCTGATGTGTCTGTCCCTGGCTGGGGGCTGAAGC